ATAGAATACAGAAGTTTAGAATTTTTGAAGTCAACAATTTTCGCACGATAAGGAATCAAAGTAATGGAATTTTTTCCTAACAGTTCCATAGCCTCCCAAAGATAAGTACATGCGTCTCCGTACCGATCCGTGAAACTCTAATAAACCGGCTTGTGACTCACGACACCTATGAACCTAGAGCTCTGATACCAACTTGTCACGACCCAATTCTCCCTCCGTAAGACGTCGTGACGGCACCTAGTCTCTACGACTAGGTAAGCCTAACAAAAGCGGAAATAACAAAAATGGAAGCAAAACTTAACAACTAACTGCAACAGATAATTAAATAACTGGTAACAATGCCGCTCGACATTTACAATAACCAACACTTTAGTAATACACAATATTCCCAAAACCCGGAACATCATAAGTCACAAGCTACAGAAGGAAACTAGTATCTCTATACACCAGAGTCTAATAAAAGAAGCACGGAAGGTAAATGACATAGGAGAGAATAGAGTGGGACTCCGAGATTTGCGGACGCGACAGATGTACCATGAAGTCTCGGTACAACAGCAAGCACTCTCAGCTAGTAGCGGGGCTGATAAGAAGCACCTGGATCTGCACACAAAATATGTGCAGAAGAGTAGCATGAGTACACCACAACGGTACTCATTAAATGCCAAGCCTAACCTCGGTAGAGTAGTGACGAGATCAGGTCAGGGACCATTGGTATATAACAAATAAAGCAGGAGAATGTAGCAATATAATAAGAGACTGGAATTTAACAAAAAGGAAAACACAGCAAAATAGCAGCGCAACACACAGGAATAAACAACAGAGGATCTCCCGAGTTACCGCCTCGTAGTCTCAAAAGTAAATGTGCACGGAGAACTCCCGAGGTACTGCCTCGTAGTCTCAAAAGTAAATATGCAAGGAGAACTCTCAAGGTACCGCCTCGTAGTCTCAAAAGTAAATATGCAGGGAGAACTCCCGAGGTACCGCTTCGTAGTCTCAAAAGTAAACACACAGCTCAAACCGATAAATACAACAGTTAACATCAAGAATTCTACAGTTAAGACTGATAAAGGTCAAGGAGAAACAGGAAATCAACTAGGCATGCTGCACAGAGTTCAAATAAGCAGTTAAAGCACGTAGACATGCGATATTGGCTAAACAGGATAACTACACTTGCTAGTATAACTCAATTAAGTTTAAAAAACAGGTTACTACTCAGTAAAAATCGGATTTTACAACAAATGGCCCGTGTACGCACTCGTCACCTTACGTACATGACGCTCACATATCACAACAGTACCAAATCCTAAGGGGATTTCCCCCACACAAGGTTAGGCAAGCCACTTACCTCGAACCAAGCTCAATCAATTAGTAAGAATACCCTTTCCTCGATTATCCGACTCCGAATGGCCCAAATCTAGCCAAAAACAATTACATACCATAAATACAACTATAATAGACTAATCTAATTAATGAAATCAAGACTTTAACAANACCTCGAACCAAGCTCAATCAATTAGTAAGAATACCCTTTCCTCGATTATCCGACTCCGAATGGCCCAAATCTAGCCAAAAACAATTACATACCATAAATACAACTATAATAGACTAATCTAATTAATGAAATCAAGCCTTTAACAAAAATTTCGAAAATCGTTTTGTCTAGCCTTTCCGGGTCCACGTCTCGGAATCAGGTAAAAGTCACAAAATATGAACGCCCATTCACTCACGAGTCTAACCATATCAAATTTGCTAAAATCCGACACCAAATGACCCTTCAAATCCCCAAAATTCACTTTTCAAATCCGTAACCTCAAACTCCCAAATTTCACCTAAAAAACATACCAACTAGGCGGGAAATCAGTGGGGAAATATCATTATTGAAGAAAAATGAATACAAGAAGCTTACCTCAGTAATCTCTTCAAAAACCTCCAAAGTCCGAGCTCAAAATGATGAAAATTGCCAAAAATCTCGAAGTCTCGCTTAAGTAGGTTCTGCCCGGGCATTTCCGCACCTGCGGAGTCTGGGCTCGCACCTGCGCGTCCACTTGTGTGAAAAAATGAGCGCTTCTGCGCAAACCACTTACTCCTATCTGCCCCCGCACCTGCGACCTATGATCCGCATCCGCGCTATCGCAGGTGCGGGAAAAATATCGCACCTGCGGACTCTGCTGATCCTCCTCACTTCCGCACCTGCGCTCCTCCTTCCGCACATGCGGATCCGCACCTGCGGACACCTCACCGCAGGTGCGATTACACCAGAAGCTTGAAAGCTTCGGCAACTCACACAAGTCCAATTTCGATCCGTTAAGCATCTGAAACTCACCCGAGGCCCCCGGACCTCAACCAAATATACCAACCAGTCCTAAAACATCACACGAACTTAGTCGAGCCCTTAAATCACATCAAACAACGCTAAAAACACGAATTGCACATCGATTCAAGCTTAATGAACTTCAAAGTTTCAAACTTCTACATCCGACGCCGAAACCTATCAAATCAAGTCCGATTGACCTCAAATTTTGCACACAAGTCATAATTGACATTACGGACCTACTCCAACTTCCGGAATCGGAATCCGACCCCGATATCAAAAAGTCCACTTCCGGTCAAACTTTCCAAAAATTCAATTTTCGCCATTTCAAGCTTAATTTAGCTACAGACCTCCACAACACAATCCGAACACGCTCTAAGTCCAAAATCACCCAACAGAGCTAACAGGACCGACGAAACTCCATTCCGGAGTCGTCTTCTGACAGTTCCAACTACGGTCAAAATCCTAAAGACTTAAACTTCCGTTTTAGGGACTAAGTGTCCCAAAACACTCCAAAACCACGAACAAAACCTCCCGGCAAGTCACATAAGCAGAAAAAGATACGGGGGAAGCAGTAAACAGGGGATCGGGGCTATTACTCTCAAAACGACCGGCCGGGTCGTTACAAGAAGTTGGCCCTCATGGAATTTGTGAAAATGTTATTTACTATAAAATAATTATTAGGATTTGAAGAATAAATTTTTAATGATAAAAAGTTGAACTGAGCCCATCAGCATTTAATTGGAACATAAGAAGAAAAAGCCTCGAAAGAACAAAGCTTTATTGAATTCCTAGATTCAACTTGATTCCAATATTCATGTACAAAAACATGTATAGCGCTCTCCCAAAAGATAAGACAAATATTGACATGGAAAAAAACGAGGATCATGGACCATTAAGCAGTTTCAAGACTAGACCAAGACGAAAATGATATATCAATTAAATGATGACTAATCTAGAACCTCCAAAATTAGACCCTAAGGCAAAATTAAGAACACCACCTATCCACTTCCGTTTCCTTTTACATTTTCCTTATTTTATATAAGCAAATACGAGATGGGTTTTGATGTTTAATTCGCCTTGGGGGCAGGCCAATTCTAAGTCCATTGAAAGGAAATAAAAAAGCCTTGGAGAAAATATATCTAGTACTAATTCCATGGAATTAGTCGAGATGCGTGCAATCTGGTCCGAATACCATGGTTATAAAAAAAAAAATCTAGTAGACTATATATGGAGGTGGAGGGGGCGTGACCTCTGCCAACGCATCCTGCTATTGATCTGGTCCTGCATCTTTTGATGATTTCGTCGTCTTTATTTGTAAGTTCTGTTGTTTCTTGGAATTTTATTTTTATGCATCCAGTCCACTAGAGAAAGCACAGTTGCTTGTACCTTCTGCATAATTGTGATTTCTCTTTGGCTACAAATGTATTTTGTTTTACATGTCACCAGGAAAATGTGCAAATAGATTGCTCGCATCATCAGGCTTACCTCTCATTGCAAGACAAATGAAGGTATTGGCAAATATTAGCTGGGCTTCTCAAATCAATGCATATGTAACTTGATTCTCTTCTTCTTTCCTATTTTATTATTTCAATTAATGATTTTGTTTTTGATAATATCTCTCAGAGACTTGAACTCAGTCCTATATGGGCTCTTCTTGCTGCATTTGAGGATCCTCTGCCTACTGCACTAAATGCAGAGTCCCTTCCCTTTGAAGGGGCTTTTGTAAAAGGAGTTGAATCTGTCTCATGGATGGCAAACAACACTAAGAAACTCTTAGGCAGAGATAGTGGTCCACAATGTTGGACATTTTTCAGCACTGCAGCATTTGGAAAGCAGAACAAAGTTCCCCAGGTCTCTTCTGTGACAATATTTTGAGCTCAAACTATAAATATCTCTAACGGCTTTGTTGTCTTGACCTTTCACTTTAGCCATAAAGTAATGGTAAATAGGGTTAGTTTATATAGTTGGAAAAATTGGATTTAATGAGTTATTCATTGATTGAAAGGGACCAGGTAACAGAGTGAAGGTTTTGCATATGCATGGAAAAACTGGCAAATGAGTGTGTTTTCATATCTCTGTCCACCATGCTTAGATCAAAGTTCAAACTGTCAACAAATAGTGCTAATTTAGAGGACCATGGGTTAAGAATTAATCATGTTTGAGAATAATATCAAAAACCATTCCATTTGACACACTTTGAAATTGACCAGGATAGGCTAGGTTTGTCTAGCAGTTAACTGTTACGGAACTGCTATTAACAATCCCTGTTTCTGAAGAAACAAACTGTGTAACATGTCAGTGTGGAACTCTATTAATCTAGGTCAGCAAGATATCATATCCTTGTCATAGCAAAACTTCAGCAATCATTCCCATGGTTATGGATGTTACCTGGATTTGGCCAAAGTCCAAAAGAATTCCAACATTAAATTTTATGTAGATATCAATAATGAGCCGGGGCAGGGGTAAGGTTTGCGTACACACTACCCTCCCCAAACCCCTCTTGTGGGATTTTACTGGGTCGTCGTCATTGTTGTTGTTGTATATCAATAATGAATCTAGTTCATCTTTTTCTTTTTTGATCTATCCTGAAAGCACAAGTATAGGTCCTAATTGTGCAAGGTAACCTATAAAATCTGTTAGTTTTTCCTCATCATTTACTTAATCCATTTTACACTCAAAAGAAATCAAAAGTGTGCAATTGGATTTGATCTCAAAGAGTATTCTCTTCAGCACTAAACCTCCATATTCACCTCATAAGTACCAACTCTAGTTCACTATTTGGTATGCTCTTCTTTCCTTAAGGAATTTCCTCCCTAGATCGACTGGTGTGATGGCTGGTCAATGGTTAATTCAGTTGGATTGGCCTGCCTTTCAGTCATGCTTATTATATTTGACCCTTGACAGCTGTATTAGTTTGAAGCTTTGAAGTGTTTCCGATCTTTAAGTTTGTTATGGATTCTTGGT